ACCCTGTGGGTTCCCAGGGCTGGGAGTCTTTATGGAGACAGACGGCACATCTTTCTTCTGCAGAGGGGCTGGTGGGTGCAGGCCCCAGCCTTTCAGTTGGCAGCTGGCCACTTCACCACTGTACCATCAGGGCACCCAATCAGAAAATTTTAACACAAAAACCAAAATACAAAATTTTAAGGAAAAAAATAAAGATTTTAAAAATGGCCCAAGTTCCACAAAAAATAGTAAAACACACAAAATCACAAGTGAAGAAGAACCAATAAAAAGCAAAACACAAAGAAGAGGAAATTTGTCCTATGGAGGCCAGACTAACACAGATAATTAATAATTTTCAGACTACAGTGAAGTGAATGGATGCTCCCGTTTACTACCCCAGTAACTAACCTACTGAACAATGAATAAAAGCAAGCACAGACTGAGATCTCAGACTGATTAAAGAAAGCAAAAAGCACACAGAAAACAAACTAGCAGAGATCAGGAAACAAATAGAAGAACAAAATGAGAGACTCAACAAGGAAATCAAAAACATTAAAAAAGAGAGAGAGAGAACTGCTGGAAATGAAGAATAAAGCAACTGAAATAGAAAAAGCGAGAGAAACACTCAGCAATAGAGTCAAACACACAGAAGACAGAATAAATGAACTAGAAGACAAAATAACTTACCAAGTCTCAAGAGAAACAAGAGAAAAAAAAAAAGTGAACAAACCCAAAAGGAAATATGCAATTCTATTAAAAAATCTAATATTAGAATTATTGGAATCTCAAAGCACCATGACAACAATAAAGGCATAGAAACAATTTTCTAAAAGATAGAATTTCCCAGACCCCAGATCTGAACAGAGAAGCAAGACTGTAAATACAGGAATCTACATGAACCCAATCAGAAGAGACAAAAAAAGATCAACTCCGTGCCATAGCCTAATAAAATTCTTGAAAACCAAAGACAAAAAGAGAATTATGAAAGCAGCAAGAGAAAAACACAATATAACATACCAAGGGTCTTTCGTAAGAATCAGTGTGGATTTCTGCCCAGAAACTCTAGAGGCTAGAAGACAATGGAGCATCATATATAAAATACTGAAGGACAACAATTGCCAACCAAGAATTCTCTACCCAACAAAGTTGTCATTCAAAAATGAGGGAGAAATTAAGACATTCCCAAACAAACAGAAGCTTTGGGAATTTGCCACTACCAGACCAGCTATGCAAGTATTACTCAAGGGAGTACTCCAAATGGAAAGGCAAGAGAATCAAATGAACACTCATATCTATACATGGACATCATGCTTGGTAAAGTAGAGGGTCAGCGAAAAAGAGGAAGACCCTCAGTGAGATGGACTGACACATGGCTACAACAATGGACTCAAGCATAACACTGATTGTGAGGATGGTGCAGGACTGGGCAGTGTTTTGTTCTGTTGTACATAAGGTCACTATGAGTTGGTACTGACTAGACGGCACCTAACAACAACATACATGGAAAAATAAACAAATAATAAGCGAGAAAGAACTCCAAAAAAAGCAACAACACAGAGAATCTTAAGGACCAAGTACATGCTATTTTCAGGGAATAAATTCAGTAATTAAATCCCACAAACAATATAATATTAAGCTGATAGAAAACAAAAACTCGTTGCTGTTGAGTCAATTCCAACTCATAGTGACCCTATACGACAGAGTAGAAATGCCCCATAGGGTTTCAACAAGCATCTAGTGGATTTGAACTGCTGATATTTTTGGTTAGCAGCCAAACTCTTTAACTACTGTGCCACCTGGGTGCCTATAAAAAATAAGTACAAAGCAAACTTACCAAATGTAAGTTGTATATTGATGTTAATGGAGACACACCAAGAGAAACGGGGGAGGGAGAAGCATATCAAACTTGAAACCATCGAGTCAATTCTGACTCACAGAGACCCTATAAGACAGAGAAGAATTGCCCCATAGAGTTTCCAAGGAGCACCTGGTGGATTCGAACTGCCAATCTTTTGGTTAGCAGCCATAGCTCTTAACCACTATGCCACCAGGGTTTCCAGAAGCATATCAAGAATGGATTTATTATGTTTAGATTTTAAGCTAACTGTTAAAACTTTGGTATAAACATATGTTAAACCTTGTTACAACTGTAAGTTGTATAATGTAATATATGTGAAACCACTAAGAAATCACCAAGAAAAAACATTCAGAACACAAGAAGGAAGAAAGCAAAAAGGTTCATCAAAAGAAAGCAAGACCAAATACGAACAAAAAAAAAAAA